CTCACTCTGTTATAAAGCAGAAACTAACACACCATTGTAAAGCAATTATACCCCAATAAAGATGTTAAAAAAAAAAAAAAAAAAAGACCTAAATAATGAATCTCAGCTTTGGAATACAAATTATGTCAGTGATGGAATGATTCCCAGAGATTTAACTGATCTTTTTGAAAATCAGATTAAATATTAGACTGCCATTTCCTATAGGTGAGGGTATTAGAAACCAAAATGTGCAAGATATATATGAATTAATTTTAAATATTGTATTTGAACATTATTCCAATGTCATCAATATCACTTGAATAATTTTTAGCAAAACATTTTCACTTTATATTCCCATTTGAACAGGATTCCTTTCTAACAAAAGAAAGTGTCTCTGGAAGTTCCAGGTCTAGATACAATTAGAGAATCCAGTGCAAGCAGAAGTAATAAAATAAACCAGCTCTGCGTCCTAATCAGGAAGGTTCACCGCCGAAGTAAGATCAGTCATCATAATTGAGGCATAGAGTGAAAAAGCTGAGAATTTATCAGAAATACTGACAAGAAAACCAGAATGAAAATGGATTTTATAAACCAACTACCCATCACTGTCAAAAGACTCATCTTATTCTTTCCTCTAAAAGAAAATATCCTGAACCATCAAATTGAACGTAGAAAAGATGGAGAACAATCCTTAGCAGTACAAGAAGACATCCAATAAAACAGTACATAGGTTCAATTCTGAAAAATAATTTTCAAATCCCATGATGGCTTTTACCACTTTTGAACCTGCCTGCCTAAGTGAGCTTTCCCCCCAAAGCAGGAGTTGAGTTAAGGATTCAAGGCCAAACAGTTTATTTGGGAGATTCAGGAAACACTGGATGGGAGTGTGGACGTGATGCACAGGAAGAAAGGGTGGCTTACTAAGGATGTAGAAACATACCTCAGGATTGTCTCACCCACGAGGGGATGGAGCTGGGATGTTGATCAGCCATTGGTTAAGATGGCTTTAGGGGTGGGAGGCCAGGGTGTTAATTCTTTGGCACTTGAAGTCTGCAGGAGTCAAGCACTTTCCCAGACTACAGAGAAGACCTTCAGGCAGAAGAAGACCCACAGGCCTTCAGGAGGTCCTCCACCTTGACAACGGGAAGGTCCCACAGTACAGATGGGGCACTGAAATCATTGTCTACACTGGCCCCTCCAAGGACTTCATTCCCATCAACGGTTGTGTCCGCTGTTGGTATTTCATATCAGTCTTCGCTCTCCCTTTTCTCTACTATCCAGCAGAGCATATATTCCACGTTCGAGCCATCTACCTCTAAGCTATAAAATATACCATTTTAGCTTAGCCTTTATTTCCCCTCTTGAGTCTACTTTATATTCTCTGTAAAGTAAAACTCTTAGTCTATTCCTATGTTGTAAATTTTTTAACATCAACTTTGCTCTCAACTGGGTTGTTTAAAAAAAAAACAAGTCACTCCCTTGGTAGTATTATGGTCCATCATGCATCCACGAAAAATGATGGACTGGTCCACAGGGTAAGAGCTACCATCCAGAGAATCTTCTTTTATGTTATGAGAGCAGAAGAGGTAATTTTGGCAGTTCCAAAAGTACACATTGTCCCAAAATAATGAGGAGGGAGCGGGAAAGGCAAATCTAAAACTTAACTGGGAAGAAGCATTTCCAATGAAATGTCACTTCACTGCTTTGAACAAATATAGTCTTTAAAAATAGTCCAATCTAACCATTCTTAGGCTGCAGGGACAGTTCCATAATATATTAGTAACTTCCTTCTAGGCCTGAAAGGTTCCTCTTTGCCTTTATTGTGTACATAGTCAAAGTGAGATGATAATGTGCCTAGGTAAATTTACCCTAAAACAACCTTAACTGATGTAAGCACTTGATAAATATTATGCTTCATAAGTTAGAAAAATCAATTCAGGGAATTCAAGAAATAGGCAGGAACTAATGGGAATGTAGCATTATAGGTTTCTTGGAATAAAGGGATTTATTGCCATTCAACAGAGGTATCGAATATGGAACAAAAATGGCTTGGTTAAGATTAAGTTGTCTAGATTTGAGATTGCCTAATCTGGCTCTAACAAAGTCATTATTTTTAAGAGAGATAAAAATGAAAAAACAGACCAGTACACATCACTGAAACCCTCTGGACGTTTTTATGCTGGGTTTAGAGACCCATCCCCTGGTTGCCCCTCTCCATGGCCACTTTCAAGCTTTGACAGAGCCACTGTTGAACAAGATCCTTTCCTAGGGGTAAGTTTTATATTTATGTAAGGATCAGGCCACACTATCAAACCCACGGTTCCCTGAGACAAACCATCCATTGTATAATGCAATAATTATTTTAAAAATCAGACATCTCTAATTACAGTATGAAGTCTTCACCTTTAGATTCTAAATCAGTGCTTCTCAAGCTATCTGTGACGAAGGACTATTTTTTAATTATTATTTCTAGTCTATTGTTACTGATACGTTTGCAAGATACATTAAAGATGAATTACTAGAAAATGAAAAATTTAAAACACAAAATTTAAGCCCAATTTATTATTGTTGTTATTAGATTCGACAGACACATAATTACTCTGTCAAAAAATTTTTTTAAGCTTCTCAGCATTTACTCTCAATTTCAGCCCATATTCTGTCACAGACCAGTAACTGCTAGTGGGCAGCAGTGGCCGGGGACCAGACTTTGAGTAGCACTGATCTGAAGTGCCACGCACGTACTTATTCAAAAGATATACTTTACCTCTGGCATCCTTTCCAAATCCTATAGAAGAAACTTTTTTGTCCACTTCTTCACAATTGTTTGGTTTCTCCTTCATAACGTCATCGTCACCAGCAACGTCAGCAGAGTATTTTTTCTTTCTCTTTTTCTTGTGTCGAGGAGGAAGCTTTTTTGGAAAAGTAAACATTGGGAACATCACAAGAAACATTGCAATGGCACAAAGGAGGAATCCGCTCCACCTAAAAAATTGGGAAATGTGAATAGCATTTATGGCTTTGGTATTATGAGTGTGAACAAATTAGCAAAGTAGAAGTTTGTGGTGATAAATTTCTCCAGAGAAAACCTTTTACCTTCATCAGGTGTACAGCAGTAAGAAGTCAGACAACTTAAGAAAATATAGTATGGAATCCTCCCTTTCTGCGGTATAAATGAGAAATCTACCCAGTAATTATACTAGTATTATAATGACTATTACAATCAGCAGCCTGACTAGAATTTCATTCAATTCAAGTATTTTTGAGCACATATATGCTAGTTCTGCCAATTAACATCGTTAGTCCTACTACAGTGTGCATCTTATAATAAATCAATAGCTCATAAATTTAAGAGAAAAATAATATAGAGTCTATAGCATGCTTTCTGGACCAATATGGACACTTTTTTCTTAGAAGAAAACCATTAATATCTGGCATGAAATGTATTTCAAATTGCTGATGGCATTCAAATATTTTTCTGCAAGCACTTAAGAATGTATTAACCCTTCTTAGCTGGCCTTCCCAAACTTAACCAAGTGTGAGCAGAACTGAAGACATTTACACTCAATCTTTGCCTTCAAGAACTTACAATCTGCTTGTAAGCGAGCTAAAGATATAAGAAATGATTCCAAGCAATTCCAAGAAATGCAAGAATGTACACAATTGTTAGATCATGTGGTATAGAAGATGAATGTTATAAAAATTCAGAAGGGAAATCAATGTGTCAGGCACAAAATTACTGTCAAAATTTTTTTTTAAGTTTCTCAACATTTACTCTCAATTTCAGCCCATATTCTGTCACAGACCAGTAACTGCTGGTGGGCAGCAGTGGCCAGGGGCCACACTTTGAGTAGCACTGATCTGGAACTTGAGAAGTGGAACTTGAGCTATGTAGAATCGAGATCCTGTCTTTAGACTCATCTGAGGTTGCCATGCTGAGGGAACTAGGAAGTAAATACAGAGTAGATCACTAATTCTAGTCCTGTATTAGAACATGTGTTAAGGCCTTGGGCTTCTTGCCTGCATAATTCCCCAACGGCAATTTTTCAGTCCCCTTTCAACGTTTTCTTAGCAAATAGAGGTCCCTGGTCCTGCCTAACAGGGTCACTAACTTTCCAACTAGGATTCCTCAACTCCAAACTCTGTCCTCAAAGTTTCCAAGTTCATAAACGCTCAGATTCTGGCCTCTGTATCAATACTTTCCCATCCATTGTTATCAGAACGCAAACAGCATTCTAAGCATTCATGTTGAATATAACCCAGTAAGAATACAGACCATCCAGTGTGCTGTTTTCAAAGATACTTAACGTTATATCCAATTAAGATATTAAAGCAATCAGAAAAAGGTTTTATTTTTAGAAGACTGCTCAGGGCAGACTTCCAGCAATCTCAATGATTCAGTATTTAATCACGAACCGAGTGCCTAACACAGGTTAGGTACTCAAAACATTTCCTAAATAAATAAATTGAATGAGATAGGTGTTCTAAAAACAGAGCCATCTGTCATGTCTGCAGGGACATAGCTATGATAATATCTGGCCCTTTTTGTACTTGGCTGCATACGAGGACTCTACTAACCCAGCCCTGCCATTATCTTTCTTGAATTTCTTTCTGCAACCTCTGCATTCAAGTCTCCTGAACCCCTTAGTTTCCTGGACCTCTCATGCTCTCTCCAGAGGAGGGCAGCCAGCAGACTATAAGGGGCAATTCTTGAGCTGTGGCTTCAGACTGACCTGGGTTTTTATCCTGTCTTTCCCACTTACTAGCTCTAAGATCCTGGGGAAATTAGTTTGCTTTTCTGAACAGGCTTTCTCATCTGAAAGGGAAGTAATAATAATTTTCGGGGGGGGTCATCAAAATTAATAAGACAATGTATAAGACCTAATAAAATGCCTGCCCCCAAAGCAACAATAAATTCATGGTAGCTAGTTTTGTTTTTTATGTAGATCTGCACTCAGGGCTCCCACCTCCACCCACAGCCATTGACTTAAAATTATATGCAAACATTAAAGATACACTCAGAGTACCCCAAAGGGAGAAAATAACAGAAGAAGGGAAAGAATTATAGTGAATAGACAAAAAAATAAAAAAATGTTTAGGGACATTTCTAAGCAGAGCAAATCGGTCTCCAGTAACATCGAAGTTAACACATGATATAATGGTGGTGCTAAAGAGGACGTTGAGAAAAGCTAAGTAAGGCAAGGAAGTGTGCATTATATGTCGGAAAAAGATGCATCAGGAAGAGCTAAAATTGAAAAGCCAGGGCTCCTGACTCCCTTTCATGAACCATTACTCAGAGACTATTCATGAAGGGAGGACAGTTAAGTACATTGACTAAAACCTCCACCCTGGACTCAATTTCTTGTCCAGCTCCCACTGACTCTGAGACTTTGGGCAATGTGTTCAAGTCGCTGACCATCAATATCCTCATCTGCAAAATGGGCACACTCTTAGTGACTACATGTGGTTGTTATAAGGCTTCAATGAAAATGTTGGTAAAGCTCTTAGAATAATGCTTGATACATAGCACCCAATTAATATTAGCATTATTCAGTCATTCCTTCCTTCCCTCTTCCAGCATATATTTACCAAAAAACCTATCATTGCCACTAGGCACCATAGAAACTAACATTGTATCAAATAACTCTGTCTTTGTTCAAGGTAGAAGTCTGTTACAAACAGAGCTACTCAATAAACAAAATTCATTTTCAAAGAGACCCCCTAGTATACATTTCTATATTGACAAGTTTTATCATTTGCAGAATACTGAGCCATTAAAAGGAATAAAGCTACTTGAACATTGATTAAATTCAAAGGACTGAATAATAGCTAACACACATTATGTAGGAAGAACTGCTTAGATCTCCACATACATAGACTCATTTATTCCTCACAACAACCCTATCAAGTAGGTACTGCAACTATTTCCATTTTATGGATTTAAAAAAACCCCGAGGCCCAGGGAAGTTAAGTAACTTCCCCAAGGTCACACCGTTACTAGGTGGCAGACTGGGATTTAAAACCAGGGGAGTGTGCCTTCAGGGTCTGCACTCAATTGTTCCACTTTGCTACCAACTGGGTTGATGTCTACTAGAAAACTTTTAGAAAACAGCATAAAGCACTTGTAATCTTAAAGCTACTGCTTCCTTGCCTTCTCCTTGCCCCTGAGCTGTCCTCCTTGGCTTTCTCCTTCCAGATGTTCCCTTATTGCCATGCTCTTCTCATGGAAATCTATGCAGAACACAGAGTATACATGGGATGTTCATAGATATATTTTAATAATCTAGTTTTCTGAGAACTTTTAAAAAAATCTTTACTCTGAATTATTTCAGAACTGCAAAGAAAACAGTAGAGGCCAAAAATTTCACTATTGATCAAGAACTTAAAGTTCCTGTGCCATTCCCCTACTGCTGACAAGGGAACGCTCCCTTTTGCATGATTTGAAAATTCTACCAGGCCAGGCTCATCTAGATCTTAGCACTTCCACCTTCAAAGAGTATTTACTTATAAAAATAACAAGTGTTCTATCATTTAATTAATATTTATTAACGGCTTAGAAAATAGAGTTAAACGTTATTCTCACACAGCTCAAGTTATGAGACTATTAAATTATAATGAAACACAGAGAGAACACAAGTAGTCTAAGAAACTCTTTAGAAAGTAATTACTTGACACTAGTTTCTAATTAATGAAATTCTCTGTTCTAAAATGAAAATTTCTTATCAGTGTTTGCCTATTAACAATCCATGTTTAATGAATCTGAGATGCCGATACTTTGAGCGAGTGTTTGCAATCATGAAGAAATAACTCCTTATGTTCAAGATGAGAATTGGGAAGAGTTCAAATGCAGCCCTTGGAGAGAGGGATAAGTAACCTATCATCCAAAATTGGAGTTCTCATTCTAAATCCTAAGCTTACTTATTTAGCAAGACAATTAAAGGCTAGCAAGGGAGAGAGTGGCTACATCTCCAGCACACCCAGGGGAAGGAACTATTACCGAGTGAAAAGATTCACTAAGAGTGGGACAGTGGAAACGCAGGGCTAGAGTCCTGGGCAGTGGAGAAGCACAAAACAGAAACACAAATGTAATAAGGAAGTGGGAGAAAATATTTTTTAAAGGCACAGAAAAGATAATGAAAGCTACGAGTAAAGCGCACAGGAAAGTTCCGACACAGCCGCGTTCCCCTTTTCCTTCACTCTGCTATGAAGAAACCAGCCATCTCAAACCTAACGAATATGGATTAAACTGATGTTCCCAACTCCTCCGTGTTCGTTTCCTATTGCTGTGATAACAAATCACCACAGGCGGCATGGCTTAAGACAACACAAATGCATCATCTTAGAGTTCTGGAGGTCAGAAGTAAAAAATGGGTTGGCAGGACTGCACTCCTTCTGAAGGCTCTGGGGGAAAAGCTTCTGCAATCCACCTGCATTCCTTGGCTTATGGTCTCTTCCTCCATCTTTGAGGCACATCACTCCAACCTCTGCTCCAATCATCAAATCTCCCTCTCTTACTCTGACCCTCCTGCCTCTCTC